TAATCAAATAACGCACTACCAGGGTTATTTTAGATTAACCCGCGTATTCCCCTGACACAAACCCAATTATGACAGTTATCACTATTTTGAGACAATTAAACAATTACGGATTTAACGTCCAATTGATAATAGATTATCAAATTAACTAATTATCCGGATCTAAGACAATCAATTAATTAAACAATAATAAACACTGCAACCAGGGAATATGCAAATACTAATAAATAAAAGATAAAAGATAAAATTAAATCGATCTCACAATTTTAGGCGATCCAAAGCATCCGTTGTCCCTTGACTAGGGTGAGGAAATTAGTTCATAGTTGATGAACAAAATCCACCGAAAATTGGAGAGAAAGTCGCAGCCATCAATTGGAAACTGGGTAAACTTAATTCGATTGACCACTGACTAGAAAGAAAAGCTACAAAATACTTGATTGTTTGTTTGCTTCTGCTCCATACGAATGAAGAGAAAAACTACCACTAAAAGCTAAAAAGGAGACAAGTCAAAAGCCAGGCTAAAGGACAAAAAACTAAGAAGAGAGTCAGTGCTCTTCCTCTGCGCAATTCCTATTCTAATTAGCCTACTGCTCCTGTGCGGCGTCCGCCGCACGAGAAGAAGAAGCTCCCCGAGGTTTGCTTTCTTTTCCCTTTTTCTAGTTGCTGTCTTGGGTCAAAATTACCAAAAAGGTCTTGCATCTCCTTGTTCCAAGAATGCCCTTGATTGCCTGCTATTTGAACTCTTTCCCGATGACTGTCAAATTGGCCTTGATTATGATATTTTTATTCTACTCCCTGAAATAAATGCAAATTACGAAAAGTGAGTAGAATCTAATAATTAATTCACATTGGGTTAGGTAATAGAGGAAATTAATAATAAAATAAATGATAAAATCGCAACCTATCAGGGTTGCTTATGTCCGTGCCTGCGATCTCGTGCACTACGAGTACCCTCAATTTGTCTAACCAATCTAGGGTTAAAGCGTGAATATAACATTAAAGATAATTATATGCATAAGTAAGTAACAAAAGTACATATAGATCAAAAGCATGTATACATAACACAACTTTATCAAATAAATCACACGGTAATAGTCAGTTAGATACAAGCAAAAGGGAATTCCATGAAAGTATTTGAGTCATCAAAAATACTATATACCAACAAGATCAAAGGTTTAAAAACAACTAACGAAAAACTTTTCCCCTCTAGAGTTTCGTCCATACTCTATGAGAATAACACAATTCATATCTTAATTCAGGTTAATCATGCTTACTAACATCCGAACAAACCACATGAAGCTCTATAGAATCACATTTCTAGTTCGTCCAAGTCCTTTCTAACCTAGACTCTCATCTATTTAGTAGTCGGGTACAAGAATCCCCAAATAGAATAATTTACAATTCGAGCCGGTCGGTCCCAAGAGTAAATCATCCATATTAAAGATTCCTACCCGACATACATATATATCTTCCTCAGGTACCATGATAAAGATTTTTACACTTATAATGTGCACGGTTCATAGCTTATGCTCTAAAGAGCACTCATACCTTTAGACACATTCACGAAATCAGAACCATAACACCACTTGGCCCAACCTCACTCCGTGCAGAGACCACGCGAAATGGCTCTGATACCACCTTGGCCCGCCGAACCCTTTGGTTCACCTTAGGGTGAGGTGGGGCTGTCACAATTAGGCTCATTTGTACTCCAATTCTAAAGCTATTCAAGAATTGCAAATTAAGGAATCTTGTCAAGAAAACCTTGAAATGTGTAAACATTAAGTTAACAGTAAATTTGTATATATGTCTGTAATCATTCTCCTCAAACTAAATATATCCAGATTGCTTTCAATTTTCTAAAAGATTTTCAGACTCAAGGCATGTTCTTTAATATTTGAATAATAAGTAAAAAACGAAACTCTTCTTCTGAATAACTTTAAGTGAAGTTGAATTTAAAAATAGGTAAAATATCAAAAAACTTCTCGTGGTTTGCCAAATGTTCAATTTAACTCTCTCTAGTTTGAAAACCTACATTATAACTCCTTGTGGTTTCAACTAAATTGAAAATTGGATAGAAAGCATCCAATCTAATAGTTGTACGTGAAATATCAATATTGCCCCTATATAAATGAACTCTCTGTGGTTTGCCGAATGTTCAATTTAACTCTTTCTAGTTTAGAAAACTACACTATAGCTCCTACGGTTTTGACTAAAGTGAAAATTGAACAGAAATTATTTCACGTATAGTGGCGCCAAAAATTGACAGGTGCCGAACCTGTGCAATAATAATTACCTACTCAAGAAAAATACAGATTTTGTATATAGCGGTGAGTAGGGTCGAATCCACAGGGACTGGGGATAGTTCGTTTCTTCTAGAGTTCAAAGTACGTATAGGGGGTTTTGAGATTAAATGCCAATTAAACAAATTAAATGCAGAAAGTAATTAATTCAAAGAAATAATTAAGAGAAGCTCTACCAAGGGTACACTTCAGAAATGGTTCATGCACTGATCATTGATTCGCAGATAATTCCAACTTTTATTAATAGATTGGTTATAGTTGTCATGCACGCGATAAACAACCAACCTTTCCTTAATTTATCGATAGCTAAGGTACGACCGTTAGCTATTTCTCTAATCCAAAAACAACCCTAGGTACGACCGTAGAATTTAATTTCTAGATTGCATTAATAATTAGAAAGGCTCAATCCTAACTAACAAACACGCTACGAGGGTTTGTTTAAACTAGATCGTATATTCCCCTGACATAAATCCAATTACGCCAGTTGCTACTGAGATAGAGATAACGAACAATTACGGATTCAATTACTCCTATTTAGCAAAAAATAGCCTATATGAATAATTAATTATTGCGCACTAATCAATCATACACAAGGCTATAGCAATTAAAATCAAGGAACATATAAATACCAATAAATGAAGAAAATAATTAAAACAGATTCGATCTCACAGTAATTGTCGAACCAAATCGTTAGTTGTCCCCTTGACTAGAAGGAAGGCTTAGCCACGCCGCATAATTAAATCACCACACGAATTAATAGATTGCAAAGGCATTGCGATTTTTTACTAGAAAGCAAGGGATAAATGGTGTTTTTCCCGTTGGGGAATATTGTCAAACACCTGGCGTGTGTCGGAGGCCAGTGAAAAGAAAGAAAAACTAAAGCTACCCTAAAAGCTAAACTAGAGCCGTCTAAAAGGATCCCCTTTTGCTTCTGTACGTCTTCCCTTAAAAAGCCAAAAGAAAGAAGCCTAAAAGCTATTTCCTGTGGTCCCCACACATGTGGACAAAGCCTCCAAGTTACTTCTTGGTCCAAGTCTCTCTACGTTGCTTTCTTTGAAAGGCCTGACTAAATGCCTTTCACTAGCTTGTGGTCCCCACCAATTCAAGAGTCCAAGGTCCTTAGAAGTCTCCATTTTTCCCATAAAAGTCCCTCTTTTTTGGTAATTTTCTGCTTTGTTCCTGAAATTAAGTCCCAATACCAAATATAAGTAAATATTAATAATTAAAACAATATTTGGCAAGAATAAAAGGGGAAATTAACAATAAAATTACTAACAATTAACACTCTATCAGCAATATTGATATTTCATGCACATCCGTTAGATTAAATACTTTCTATCCAATTTTCAATTTATCAAAACCGCAAAGAGGTATAGTGTAGGTTCCAAATTAGAGAGAATTAAATTAAACATTCAGTAAATCACAATGAAATTTTTTGCTATTTTATCCTTTAAAAATCAAGAAAAAAGCTTGAAGGCAATCTTTTGTCTCTAACTTAAAGCTTAATGTCGAATAAGGGGGAAAATAGTAGAATAAGAAAACGATTTATTAATTAACATTAACCTAGAAATCAACGTAATCTAAAATTAAGAGACAAAAAACAAGAAGGTTATTATCGTTGTCATAAAATATTACCCTCTTGTATTGCTGCAAAGTTGCTCGGAAAGTGAAGGCTACTAATTGAGAATTATTTATTCGCGTCTTCGGATTGACAAGCACTAGGTAATGCCCTAGGTAAAGATGTTCACAGTTACTCAAAGGTCAAAGCGGCCATTAACGGGTGAAATATATTGGGAATGGCAACGGAGAGGGCTGCACTCCCCCCCCTCGCCCCGCCCTACTTTCACTACAGTGCTAATAAAGATTTATCATATAATTTTATTATAGTTAAATTTTAATAAATAAGTAAGTAATAAAATATCAATATATTATCAAATTATTATTCATTATAATTTTACAATTGAAACCTATAAAAACAATCAAAGGAGAAGTAAGTGTAAACATCTGGAAATTTGAGGGATGTGCCATCACAAGGTAGTACAAGATTTTGCTATCAAGACATTCCTGATCAGATTTTGCTCCCACACTGACACTAGAAAACCTTTCCTGGCACACCCTCGACACACCATCACCCCAGCAGTTAATTTGCAGAACAGTTAGGGTACAAGCTAAATGCATAGCAGAGCATAGAAAATACCCCAGCAGCACATACCATCATACCTGTAACATCTGTAATCACTGGGATTGCCCAATGACGAGAGAAATGCTCAACACTCTCAGAGTTCTCCCTTTGTCAGATTCAAAGTTCGAATTCTTGGCTTGGCAATGGAAGGTGAGAAGGTGTAGAGATGGGATGGGACGATAAAACTTAAAAAAAAAAAAAATCTGTATCTCATGACACAACACATTTGACTAACTGAATAAGCACAAATACAAGATTGTATCAGATTCTGTATTCCCATTTTCCAGATGAAACAGGTCTTTTACATATAACTCACTAAGGTAAGTTTATATTCCACAGATACTTGAGATGCAAGTGTAAAGATCTGGAACAAATCATAAGTATATCCATCCTCAATATTTGAACAATCAATTTAATCAAATAGTACATTAATTTGTCATTAATACATAGCAACTTATTTATGCGTTACAATGACAAATATGACATCAATGTAAACAGAACCATACAGAAGATAACAACGCTTATGGCAGATGACCGTTAGCCTGACCATCTGTGTGAATTTCCGACGATGAAGAAGACTCCTCAATTTCTTCTGGTAACCATCCGTTTGAATCTCCATCTGACCATGAACAAGACTCGTCAACTTCTTCCGAGATAAGGATTTTCAGATCCATGTTTCCATAATCCATCTGTTGTTTCTTAATGCCCCGAACTACATCTCCAGCAGAGTATAGACATCCATGCACCTCAATCAATTGAAGAGTAAAAGTATCCTGTAAACAAGAAGGGAGCTCTTCCAATTCTGCGCAACCCTCCAAAATTAATCTCTCAAGACTGGGAAAATGCACTCCTGTGCCCATCCACCTGACCATCGTCAAGGATTCCAATTTCAAGAACTTGAGTTTAGGGAAGATTTCCTCTTCTTCCATGTATTCAATGTCTCCCATGTCCCATTCCTCTTCCCCATCTGCTTGCCGGATTAATTTGAGAGCCTCAAGATTGGGTAGCTTTCTGATTGTGCAAATTATACTCCATGAGAAGTCCTCCAGTGTCAACTTTTTCAGATTCAAGGGGAGATGAAATTCAATACAATTTGCAGTAACTTTACCCAGTAGCAGCTTTAGTGATTCTAACTGACTCAGAGAGTCCATTGCCACGATCCTTGTGCCCTCACTAGAAGATTCCTCTGACTGTAGCAGACAGCATTTCAGTCTGCGGATATTTGGAAACTTCATCATCATCTTTTCCATGCTTTGCCCAAGATAAAGCTTTGGAGTGGAAAACGTGTGTAAATTGTATAACATACAGGAGCTTTCAGGATTTTCCTTTGCCAACCTAAGATCAATCAAAGCACCACGTACTTGTAGATGCCTCAATTTCTGCAATTTCCAAAAAATATCTTCCAACGATGAAAGAACAAAATCAGAATAATATGTTGTCACAGAAAACGTTTCCAAATTCGAGAGGTTTTCCAGCGAGGGTGGGATGTATTTGATCCAACCCGAAACAGCCAAGTACCTCAACTGAATGAGCAACCCTAATTCACATAGGAAAGTAAAACCAAGACTAATTTGTTCCAAATCCAACACTTGAAGAAGTTTCAGGTGACAAACAAAGGATGAGTTGTGTGATACTCCACGGCCCCCAATACCATGAGAAGAATGTAATAGAGAGCGTACATGGGGACAAAATATCTTTGACTTCACAAAATGCTTTGGCTGAGAGTGAATAGATAACCGATATGGGTAGTGTGGTTCATCAAAATTAAGAAATCCATCACATCCTCGTATCAAATGTAGAAAATTTTGATCTTCAGCTTTTCCCAAACAAAAGACATGCAACAAATCATGAATGTGACACGTCTTCACCCCGCCAATGGATCTTTGTTGCCCCTCCATAACCAAGCTTCTGTTGATTAGAGCTATTAAATAGCCTTCTGCTAATTTTTCAAGGCTCTCTGATTCCTTCTTTCGCACAAATCCTTCAGCCATCCACAGCACATCAACCTCTTTACAGAAATTTCTTGGTCTTCTCTAAATGCACTGAAGTAAAGAAGGCATGGCTTCAAATGGTAAGGCAGATGCTCGTAACTCAACTCTAATATGCTCTTGCATTGTTCTGTGGCACCAATCTTGCTGTTTGAGTCTAGCCTTTCTGCTACCTCTTCCCAACGACCTTGATCTAGAGTCCCAAGAATTCCAGATATGATGACGATTGATAGAGGCAGTCCATTACAGTTTTTTGCTATTTGCCTCCCAAGAACACTTAGCTCTACAGGATAGCCACCTTCTATGGTAATTGACAGCTTCTTCTGTAGTAACTCCCAGCTTTCTTCTTCATCAAGTGGCCGAAGATGGTGAGATTCACCAATAATCCCATGATGTCGACTTGTTAAGAGAATTCTGCTTCCGTTGGTATCATCCGGGAAAGATATTTTCAAAGCATTCCATGCCTCAGTGTCCCAAATGTCATCCAAAACTATAAGATACTTCTGTTTCCTCAAGTGTTTGCAAAGCTTGTGAGCCAAATCATCTTCATCAAACTCCGAATATTGAGCTTTTGGATCAATGCATGCCAAGATCCCAAGCAACAGATCTTTTTTGCAATATACTTGAGAGATACAACACCATGCAAGAATATGGAAGTGAGATGTAATTGACGGGTCACGGTAAACTCTATCTGCCAGAAACGTCTTGCCTAGTCCAGGCATTCCCACAATGGAAATGATGTCCAACTGCAACGATCCTCCTATAAGTCGACCAATAATTGTTTGCTCCTGATCCTTCAGATCTACCACAGCTTTATTGATTGTTGAGATACTACCCTGTGATGGCACCTGGTGAAATACTCCACTCCACTTCCTTCCTGCTGTTTCAAAACAAATTACAAAGAGAACGAAAGATCATTAACAAAATCTGGAGAGCTAATATCATCATCTTTTAAACTATTGCAGGATATTACCTTGTGATGGCACATCCCTCAAACCATCGGTAGGTTTTTGGGCTTCGATGCTGTCAATCTCCCCTGTCTTAGTTTTAAGAAGCTTAATTTCTGCTGTGACATCATCAAATAGCATAAGAGAATAATACGATATATCTCCAACAATTAAGGAGTCAATAACAAACACTGCCTTGTATGCCACTTCCACAACATGACAACTAAGAGCTTGGAGCTCTTCAGGGTGGTTGCTTTGATCCCTGTTGTTTTCCAAGAATGATCTTAAGAATACAAGACCATCTTGCACTGTTTGAAGTTGAAGCTTTTCCTTATCTACGTGCTGCTCCAAATTATTTTCCAAGAATGATTTCAAGAATGACAAATCTTCTTGGATTGTTTGTGGTTGGAGCTTTGCATCCTGGCTGTGCTGCTCCGTAGCATTCTTTAAGTATAGCCTTAAGAAATGAACTCTATCCTTTGCAAAAGTAAGTATAGGATCAACTTTACAAGTTGCCAGTTCCTTCAGCTTTTCTTGGAGAAGATCGATAATCCCCAGCACATTAGTAGTAGGGAAGTTGAACCTTGGCACTACAGGATAGCTTTTGTCAACAGCTGCCTTGATAGTGCTTATCCTCCCCAGCAAACAAAAGAGCTTAACATCTATTTCCTCAGCTGAAGCTTTTGAAGGTCATTCTGATAAAGTGAAAAAATTACAATCCCAGCGTCATTGACCACAGCTCCAATAAGATCCTTGATTTTTCCCTCTATCCCATCGTACTTCTCCTTATTGAGAATGTTTCTCAAAAATCGCAGTCCCTCAAAAAGCATCCGCAATTGATGCTTCAAAGATACCACAAAATAGGCAGGACAATTTAGTAGTAACTCCCCAAGATGACCTAGGAGAGAATCAACAAATTCAGCCACTATAATCACATCCTTCTTGGCAGACAGAGTGGGGGAAGTTGTTCCAGATTCAAGGACGCAAATATATGCGAGATGGGCTCGGTGATCAACACGCATGATCTTGTCTGTTAATTCAGAAATCTTTGAGTCCATCCAGTTGAGCTCTTGATAGTCATATCTGAAAAACCAGCAAATGTAACAAAGATGTGCTGCAGATAAAGCCACAACTGCACACTGCTCCAAGAGTTTCCTCTTGGGCTTGCCTTGCAAACTGGCAAAGAGAATGAAAGTTCTAAGGAACACTAGCTTCTCTTGAAGCGGTTCCAACAATTTTGCAAGTCTTGAATCACAAGCTTCGCCCCAGATGACAATATCCTCAAGGTTTTTTAAGAGAAAATTGAAGAGTTCCATGAATTCATCTCTCAAGGCAGAATTGGATTTTAAAAGGCTATCTACATACGGATTACGACCCTCGCTGCAATAGCCGTACCTTTTGAATAAAAAGTCCGGCATCTCAACATACAATTCACTGAATTTTTGCCTATAACTCTTTAAGATTCTTCTTAAATTGGAGATCGCCCCAGCCAATTCGCTGGGGGGCAATCCATGCTCCAATTGAGCAAGAAAAGAGCAAAACTGCTGCCAATTTTGACAAACAGAATCTTCAAGAATTTCAGTTCTCTCTGAGTAAAAACACAATTTCCTTGCACACAGGAAAAATATCTTCACTAGGCTCAACTCTACCTTCAGCTCCTTCAGATCATGATCATCCTTGCAGAAATCTATGATCGAATCAATGCAAGTCATTGCCTCGCTAGACAGAGTGAGTGACAGCGATTCAGATTCCCAGACACCAGTATAAGTCAAAGAAGCTTGGTCAGCAGAAGGGTTGATCTGCTCCACCGATTCAGAGGTATTCAAGTGAATTCCATCTCTTAAAAACCAACAACAAAGACGAGCTGCGAATAGAGCCGCAAATGGAAATCGCTCGATATATTCAAGGCGATTCACCCAGCCACAACTGAGCTTCCCCCGATTCACCCACCCCGAACTGAAATGTTTCACAAATGGAAATCGCTTGATAAATTTGAGGCTATTCCCCCGGCCTGAACTGAAATGTTTCACAAATGGAAATCGCTTGATAGGATGCCCTTGCGGTAATGTTGAGTAAATAAGAACAGGTTTCAAGACTTCTGCAAATCTTGAATCACAGAGTACACCAAGGCGGAGAATGCACTCAACATTCTGTTGGAAGGATGTGAAAAGATCAATGACTCGCCTTTTCCAATAAGACATCTCTTCCCATCCACCCGTCCAGTCATTATCCAGTGCTGCTGCAAATATCTCGTTCTGGAATCCGAAAAGAGTGGTACCATGGAATCCCACATCCGTTTGTAAAAATCTCTGATTTGTTGCCCAAAATTCACTATACTTTCTCGATCTGCTACAGTGGAGGGCAATCCATCCTTAAGAAGAAGAGAATAAAAACCCTGCCAACCTTGATGAACAGAATCGTCAAAAAGTCGGGTCTGTTGCCTAAAATTCTTCAAAAAATCTCCAAAAATGGAGGCTGCTGCAATTGAGTCGAAGCTGGACAATGCCTGATCTAATTCAGAAGAAGAGTAAATGCACCCCCTATTGGCACAAACAAAATGTACAAGACTTTGAAAAGAAATCTCCAATTTCCTTGCAGCCAGAAAATAATTTCTCACTTCTTCTAATTCCCCTTCAACTTGTCCAAATAATCCTCCTCCCCGAAGAAAACACCCTCGGCCACCAGCAACTGCAGCTTACCCAAGATCGTTTCAGTGAAACACTTGCTGTCCTGCTGCTCTTCTGGATGCCATGACTCCTGTTCCAGTTCCAGTATTCTCTCTCTCAGATTCTCCTATCTCCGGAGGTCTGTCAGCCTTTTTCCTCTCTACCTCTCGATAAGATGACTGATCCGATCGGGGTCAGTCAACGCTGCGGAAAAGGGCTTACAACTCAATAATTGGTAGAAATAAATTTTACTCATCAAAAAGTTTAATTTTGGTCCCTCAAATTAAAATAAGGTCTCAATTCGGTTCTCCAAAGTGGCAAAACGTCCCCGCGTAATTTGGTCCTCAAACTGAGAAACTTCCACTTTGGTCCTCCCATGTAGCATGAAAATCTGAATTTGATCCTGAGAATCTGACACTTTTCCTGATGGATATGCGTCAAAACCAGCAGATAGGAGCATTATGTCTCTTAGAACTAGTATTCGTAGATTCACAACTTAAAATGGGAGAGAGAGAGAGAGGCTAATAATTTCATGTTTACAGTTATTAAGGTTAGAAAAATTTTATGCTAAACAACAATACGATAGGTGACAATTATAAATTAACAGATAGTTCACATTTTAAGAATTTCGTATTTGTAGTTATCGCCTAAAACATGCCGTGACTTTGAGTTGCTTTTTGCAATTGGATTCTTCAAATTCTCTCTGCACATTAGGACAAATCAACGGGATGGCGCAATGGAAACAACCATCAAGCAAGAAACGCCACTCATCAGACACTTGTATAAATCTGCTACGAAGCAGAACTGATAATTGGACGTAAGCATGTATCCAATTGTACAAGTCTGGTAGAAGTTCCTGTTCATAATTATACCGGGGCACGTTTTAACCTCTCTGTCTCAAGAGCATCTACACAAGATTGTGTAGTCCCATTTTCCATAAGAAACAATAATGAATTTTACACATATCTGAACAATAATGTTAAGTTTATATTCTATCATACAAGTTCCACGGATACTTGAGAAGCAAGTGTAAGCATATCAATCAACTTCTTCACAATCAGTTTAATCAAATAGTACATTTATTGGTTAATATTGAAACATATGTCTGCAAAAAATATTACATCAGTCTCGAAAATACCACACAGAAGATAAAATATTTAGACTTATTGTAACTTTTTAGTATCATGAATGCTATTTAGGTTGGTGGTATTTGGTAAAAGCTGTGGATAGGAAAACAATTAAAGTACGTTATTGTTTAGGATATTATGCCACTTATAAAATGATGGCGCAAAAACTAATGCACACTTTATGGCTTCATTTTGGCGATAGGAATTTTTTCTTTTTATCTTGTTTAAGAATAATTTGATCAAAATATCTTAAAGGCAAAGCTCTAAGTGATGACAAGCAAATAAAAACCATACCAACTGTTATACTCAAAAGCAGGACATCATTATTATTAGAACAGAAAAGAAAAGGGCTATTAGAACAAAAAACAAAGGGCATTGAACCACAACAGATAATTTCACAATTCCCTTAGAGTACATTCAATGTACTCTACGGATAGAGGAATACATAGAGTTGAACATAGTAAAATAAAAAATTGAAAGATTTCGTTGAAATTGTTCATTTGGAAATTTCCCGAAAAGCTAATTATAGGTTCTTCTCTCCATCAGAACAATAGGGCCGTTATACTCGTTACTAAACTTGTTGAAGAGATGAAATATAACCAAGGTATATCTTTTTTATCCGAGGATGAATCGATCATCAGAAGAAGAATTAGGCCAAAAATTAGGATACATTCTGGGAAAATCAAACTTCCATCGAAGAGAAGCAAATGAAAGGCTTTCATAAAAATTCTCATAGAATCGAGAATGACTTATTTCAGAAAACAAGCAGTAAAAAGCAGCGTCAAGCAAATTTTTCTAAATTTCACAAAAACAGATTTTATGCAAAGCCAAAAACTAGAAAGAAAATAAGAATGACTAAGTTGATTTCAAGTTTTATTTTTAAACTTCATTTCTGATTGTTGTATCTTATGTATTTCCAAATTTTGGCTGAAGTTTTGTTCTTTAGTCCTAATACCTTTTAGTCCATGTTCATCCCAAATTTTATTGGTGTTATTTAATTATTAGTTTTTACCTTTTACATTTAGCAATAATTTTTTAATTGACATTTTATTTATTAGTTTTTAACTAAAGTTATAAATAAAGCATGGATTTTGTCGATCAAGACTCACAACCACTGAAAAGTGAAAACATATTATTCCAACAATAGAGGACCATTATTCTAGTACTACGATCTCGAGTGGAGTGGAGGAAGCATTTAGGAATCAAAAGAAAGAAATCATGCACACAGCAGTTGAATTTTTTCTTTTTCAAAAAAAGGTGTATTATTAAAACATTAAAGTTTGAAGTCTTGCCAATTTGGTGGAGGGGCCAAATTTTTGCGAGTAGGAAATGCACACACATGAGGATGACTTGTTCCAACTTTTTCAATGTTGACATATACCTATTTTATATGTTTTTTTTTTCTTTTGAAAACCCAACTTTGTCGGAACTCATTTGTTTTGTTCATCAATTAATTAAGCCAAACATAAATACAATTTTTGTGTTTAGAGTGATTCGTGCCTGACTTGATTCAACTAGCATCAAATTTAAGATTTATATGTAAATAATTCAAAATTTTCTAATTCGATAGAATCAAAGCTCGTTCGGGTTTGATTCTGTCAATAAACAGGTCTAAGTTTAAATATGATTTCAATCCCATTAAAATAAATGAACAAATTAAACACTAGAGAGATTTGTCTATGATTAGGCTCCTTTGTACTCCAATTTAAAAGCTATTCAAGAATTTGCAAATTAAGGAATCTTGTCAAGAAAACCTTGAAATGTGTAAACATTAAGTTAAGAGTAAATTTGTATGTATGTCTGTAATCATTCTCCTCAAACTAAACATATCCCTCGACAAAAAGTTTTGGGCTGCTTTCGATTTTCTAAAAGATTTCCAGGCTCAAGCCATATTCTTTAATTATTGAATAACAAGTAAAGAACGAAACTCTTCCTATGTAGTATAACTTTAAGCGAAGTTGCATTTGAAAATCAAGAAAGAAGCGTGAAAGCAATATTCTGTCTCTAACTTAAAACTTTTAATGTTGAATAAGGGGCAAAATATTCGAATAAGAGAATGATTTATTAATTAACATTAACCTAGAGATCAACGTAATCTAACATTAAGAGGCAAAAAACAAAATGGTGATTATATTAATGTTACCCACTTGTATTGCTGAGAAATTAGTAAAGGCTACAAATTGAGAATTATTTATTTCTCCTCTCAGGATTGACAAATACTAAGTAATGCTTTAGGTAAAGATGGTCACAATTACTCAAAGCTACTATTAACGTGCGAAATAGTCTTGCATTTACACTCTAAAAGTCCTCGAAAATTTGTCAAATGAGATTCTTTTTTTTTTTTCCTACCTTTTTAGGAAGAGTTAAATGTACAAAAACAATCTCAACCTGAAAATAAGAGTTGTCTTCTGGCAAGATGTACCTATTTAGTGTAACCTCGCATTTTCTTTGGCCCAGCATCTAGTCTTTGTACAAATGGATTGTACTTTAAAAGGTATTTTGGTGTAATGATGAGAGTTCCAAGACCAGAGGACAGTTCTGAACTTTGACAGATACTCTTGAAATTGGAAATGGGGCAGGGACAATCGTGAGTATGACCGTCCCTGAACGGTTAATGGCCATGATCTGGCCTCAAAAATTTATGTGGCTGAGATTACAAGTTGTAACTCGATTTTCACGCCATGTATGGGTCCTACAAAAATTTGCTCTAAAGTTACGCGATATGCAAAACAAGTTACGCGATGTACAAAGAAAGTTATGCGCAGTTGAAAATGGCTAAAACCGTCCGGGACGGTTGCAAGTGCCCCTTGTCCCTTGAAATTTTGCTCCCACTCTCGACAACCTTTCTCGGCACACCCTCAACACACCATCACCCCAGCAGTTAAACTGTAGAGCAGAGCACACAATCAGAAACTCTCAGAGAAATGTGCAGAACAGTTAGTGTACAAGCTAAGTGCAGCAGGGCACAGAATATACCCCAGAAGCACTACCATCACACTGCAACATCTATAACCACAGGGGTTGACCCAGTGGCCAGAGAAAGATTTAACACACTTAAAGTTCTCTCTGTTAGGTTCAATGTTCGAATTCTTGGCTTGGCAGTGGGAGATGAAAAAAATATATATACCCATTTTGACACAACACATTTGACTAACTGAAAAAGCACAAATACAAGATCGTATCAGATTTTGTATTTCCATTATTAGATGAAACATATCTTTTACATATAACTCTCTAAGGTAAGTTTATATTCCATCATGTAAGCTTCAAAGATATTTGAGAAGCAAGTGTAAACATCTGGAATAAATCATAAGTATATCTGTTGCAAAGAATCAAAGAGATTTTATTAATTCTATATCTTTCCTACAATCCATTCTAATCTATATATACAATTTTCTGGTACACTAAACAAGGAAAGTCTACATCTAATTCCCTTAATTTTAGAGACAGCTTATTCACCCTGATTTCCTCCACTAATTTACCTAAAATATCTCCTAAGATTACTCATTCAAGATTCCTACATTCACCCTGATTTCCTCCACTAATTTATCTCCTAAGATTACTCATTCAAGATTCCTACAATATCCATCCTCAATATTTGAGCAATCAACTTAATCAAACAGTACATTAAGTTGTCATTAAGACAAAGCACTTATTTATGCATTACAACGACAAATATGACATCCATGTAACGCTTATGGCAGATGATCATTAGCCTGATCATGCGTCTAAAATCTCCGCCCATGATGAAGACTCCTCAATTTCTTCTGGTAACCATCCGTCTGAATCTCCATCTGACCATGAAGAAGACTCATCAACTTCTTCCGAGATAAGGATTTTCAGATCCATGTTTCCATAATCCGTCTGTTGTTTCTTAATGTCCCGAACTAAATCTCCAGCAGAGTATAGACATCCATGCACCTCAATCAATTGAAGAGTAAAAGTTTCCCATAAACAGGAAGGGAGCTCTTCCAATTCCGCGCAACCCTCCAAAATTAATGTCTCAAGACTGGAAAATGCTCTCCTGAGCCCATCCACCTGACCATCTTCAAGGATTCCAATTTCAAGAACTTGAGTTTAGGGAAAATTTCCTCTTCTTCCATGTATTCAATGTCTCCCATGTCCCATTCCTTTTCCCCATCTGCTTGTCGGATTAATTTGAGAGCCTCAAGATTGGGTAGCTTTCTGATTGTGCAAATTATACTCCATGAGAAGTCCTCCAATGTCAACTTTTTCAGATTCAAGGGAGATGAAATTCAATACAATTTGCAGTAACTTTACCCAGTAGCAGCTTTAGTGATTCTAGCTGACTCAGAGAGTCCATTGCCACGATCCTTGTGCTCTCACTAGTAGGTCCCTCTGACTGTAGCAGACAGCATTTCAGTCTGCGGATATTTGGAAACTTCATCATCATCTTTTCCATGCTTTGCCCAAGATAAAGCTTTGGAGTGGAAAACGTGTGTAAATTGTATAACATGAGAGCTTTCAGGTTTTCCTTTTCCAACCTAAGATCAATCAAAGCACCACGTACTTGTAGATGCCTCAATTTCTGCAATTTCCAAAAATTATCTTCCAACGATGAAAGAACAAAATCAGAATAATATGTTGTCACACAAAACGTTTCCAAATTCGAGAGGTTTTCCAGCGAGGGTGGGATGCATTTAATCCAACCCGAAACAGCCAAGTACCTCAACTGAATGAGAAACCCTAATTCACATAAGAAATTAAAACCAAGATTAATTTGTTCCAAATCCAACACTTGAAGAAGTTTCAGGTGACAAACAAAGGACAGGTTGTATGATACTACACGGCTCCCAATACCACGAGAAGAATGTAATAGAGAGCGTACATGGGGACAAAATATCTTTGACTTCGCAAAATGCTTTGGCTGAGAGTGAATGGATAACCGATATAGGTAGTGTGGTTCATCAAAATTAAGAAATCCGTCACATCCTTGTATCAAATGTAGAAAATTTTGATCTTTAGCTTTTCGCAAACAAAAGACATGCAACAAATCATGAATGTGACATGTCTTGACCCCGCCAATGGATCTTTTTGCCCCTCCATAACCAAGCTTCTGTTGATTAGAGCTATTAAATAGCCTTCTGCTAATTTTTCAAGGCTCTCTGATTCCTTCTTTCGCACAAATCCTTCGGCGATCCACAGCCACATCAACCTCTTTACAGAAATTTCTTGGTCTTCTCTAAATGCACTGAAGTAAAGAAGGCATGGCTTCAAATGGTCAGGTAGATGTATGTAACTCAGCTCTAATATACTCTTGCATTGTTCTGTGGCACCAATCTTGCTGTTTGAGTCTAGCCTTTCTGCTACCTCTCCCCACCGACCTTGATCTAGCGTCCCGAGAATTCCAGATATGATGACGATTGATAGAGGCAGTCCACTACAGTTTTTTGCTATTTGCCTCCCTAGAACACTTAGTTCTACAGGATAGCCACCTTCTATGGTAATTGACAGCTTCTTCTTTAGTAACTCCCAGCTTTCTTCTTCATCAAGTGGCCGAAGATGGTGAGGTTTACCGGTAATTCCATGATGCCGACTCGTTAATATAATTCTGCTTCCATTGGCATAATCTGGGAAAGATATTTTCAATGCATTCCACGCCTCAATATCCCACACATCATCTAAAACTATGAGATACTTCTGTTTCCTCAAGTGATTACAAAGCTTGTGAGCTAAATCATCTTCATCCATCTCTGAGTATTGAGCTTTTGGATCAATGCATGCCAAGATCCCAAGCAACAGATCTTTCTTGCAATATACTTGCGAGATACAACACCATGCAAGAATGTGGAAGTGAGATGTAATTGAAGGGTTACGGTAAACTCTTTCTGCCAGAAACGTCTTGCCTAGTCCAGGCATTCCCACAATGGAAATGATGTCCAACTGCAGCGATCCTCCTATAAGTTGATCAATAATTGTTTGCTCCTGATCCTTCAGACATACCGCAACTTTATTGATTGTTGAGATAGTACCCTGTGATGGCACCTGGTGGAATACTCCACTCCACTTCCTTCCTGCTATTTCAAAACAAATTACAAAGAGAACGAAAGATCATTAACAAAATCTGGAGAGCTAATATCATCATCTTTTAAACTATTGCAGGATATTACCTTGTGATGGCACATCCCTCCAACCATCGGTACGTTTTTGGGCTTCGATGCTGTCAATCTCCCCTGTCTTAGTTTTAAGAAGCTTAATTTCTGCTGTGACATCATCAAATAGCATAAGAGAATAATATGATATATCTCCAACAATTAAGGAGTCAATAACAAACACTGCCTTGTATGCCACTTCCACAACATGACTACTAAGAGCTTGGAGCTCTTCAGGGTGGTTGCTTTGATCCCTGTTGTTTTCCAAGAATGATCTTAAGAATACAAGACCATCTTGCACTGTTTGAAGTTGAAGCTTTTCCTTATCTACGTGCTGCCTCAAATTATTTTCCAAGAATGATTTCAAGAATGACAAATCTTCTTGGATTGTGTGTGGTTGGAGCTTTGCATCCTGGCTGTGCTGCTCCGCGGCATTCTTTAAGTATAGCCTAAAGAAGTGAACTCTATCCTTTGCAAAAGTAAATATAGGATCAACTTTACAAGTTGCCAGTTCCTTCAGCTTTTCTTGGAGAAATCGATAATCCCCAGCACATTAGTAGTAGGGAAGTTGAACCTTGGCACTACAGGATAGCTTTTGTCAACAGCTGCCTTGATAATGTTCATCCTCCCCAGCAAACAAAAGAGCTTAACATCTATTTCCTCAGCTGAAGCTTCTTGAAGGTCATTCTGATGAAGTGAAAAAATTACAATCCAGCGTCATTGACCACAGCTCCAATAAGATCCTTGATTTTTCCCTCTATCCATCGTACTTCTCCTTATTGAGAATGTTTCTTAAGAATCGCAGTCCCTCAAAAAGCATCCGCAATTGATGCTTCAAAGATACCACAAAATAGGCAGGACAATTTAGTAGTAACTCCCCAAGATGACCTGAGAGAATCAACAAATTCAGCCACTATAATCACATCCTTCTTGGCAGACAGAGTGGGGGAAGTTGTTCCAGATTCAAGGACGCAAATATATGTGAGATGGGCTCGGTGATCAACACGCAAGATCTTTTCTGTTAATTCAGAAATCTTCGAGTCCATCCAGTTGAGCTCTTGATAGTCATATTTGAAAAACCAGCAAATGTAACAAAGATGTGCTGCAGATAAAGCCACAACTGCACAGTGCTCCAAGAGTTTCCTCTTTGGCTTGCCTTGCAAACTGGGAAAGAGAATGAAAGTTCTAAGGAACACTAGCTTCTCTTGAAGCGGTTCCAACAATTTTGCAAGTCTTGAATCACAGGCTTCGCCCCTGATGACAATATCCTCAAGGTTTTCTAAGAGCAAATTGAAGAGTTCCATGAATTCATCTCTCAAGCCAGAACTGGATTTTAAAAGGCTATCTACATACCACTTACGACCCTCGCTGCAATAGCCGTACCTGTTGAATAAAAAGTCCGGCATCTCAACATACAATTCACTGAATTTTTGCCTATAACTCTTTAAGATTCTTCTTAAATTGGAGATCGCCCCAGCCAATTCGCTGGGGGCAATCCATGCTCCAATTGAGCAAGAAAGAGCAAAAACTGCTGGCAATTTTGACGAACAGAATCTCTAAAAATTTCAGTTCTCGTTGAGGAATAACACAATTTCCTTGCACACAGGAAAAATATCTTCACTAGGCTCAACTCTACCTTCAGCTCCTTCAGATCATGATCATCCTTGCAGAAATCTATGATCGAATCAATGCAAGTCATTGCCTCGGTAGACGGAGTGAGTGACCGCGATTCCCAGACAAAGTGAATTCCATCTCTTAAAACCCAACAACAAAGACGAGCTGCGAATAGAGCCGCAAATGGAAATCGCTCGATATATTCAAGGCGATTCACCCAGTCATAACTGAGATTCCCCCGATTCACCCACCCCGAACTGAAATGTTTCACAAATGGAAATCGCTTGATAAATTTGAGGCGATTCACCCAGCCCGAACTGAAATGTTTCACAAATGGAAATCGCTTGATAGGATGCCCTTGCGGTAATGTTGAGTAAATAAGAGCAGGTTTCAAGACTTCTGCAAATCTTGAATCACAGCGTCTACCAAGGCAGAGAATGTCCTCAACATTCTGTTGGAAGGATGTGAAAAGATCAATGACATCACTTTTCCAATAAGACATCTCTTCCCATCCACCCGTCCAGTCATTATCCCAGCGCTGCTGCAAATATCTCGTTCTGGATTCCGAAAAGAGTAGCACCATGGAATCCCACATCCGTTTGTAAAAATCTCTGATTTGTTGCCCAAAATTCACTGTACTTTCTCGATCTGCTACAGTGGAGGGCAATCCATCCTTAAGAAGAAGAGAATAAAAACCCTGCCAACCTTGATGAACAGAATCGTCAAGAAGTCGGGTCTGTTGCCTAAAATTCTTCAAAAAATCTCCAAAAATGGAGGCTGCTGCAATTGAGTCGAAGCTGGACGATGCCTGATCTAATTCAGAAGAAGAGTAAATCCGCTCCCTATTGTCACAAACAAAATCTACAAGACTTTTAAAAGAAATCTCCAATTTCCATGCAGCCAGAAAATACTTATTCACTTCTTCTAATTCCCCCTTCAACTTGTCGAAATGATCCTCCTCCCCGAAGAAAAACACCCTCGTCCACCAGCAACTGCAGCTTATTCAAGATCGTTTGAGTATTCTGAAGAAATGATGGTCCTCCCGGAAGAACCTCCTCCATGACTGAGAGTTTACACTGATAGAAATTTGGCAAAACCAGCGGACAGGACTCAGGAGCACTATCCATGTCTCTTAGAAGTTAGAAGTTAATACGACAAGCGATAATTATAAAGTAAAAGAAAAAATGCCTTTTGTGACTTTTAAGCTGCTTTTTGTAAGTGGATTCCTATGCCTTTTGTGAGTGGACTCCGTTGCTCCTTGGAAAAAGTATGATTCTTATGCCTTTTGTGTTGTGTTGGCATCAACTCAAAATCAGAGGTATAAGCAAAATTTGTCCAACTACATCTCATGTTTCAGTAATGCTAAATTTTTCTACCTGATTAATCAACTCTTCAAATTCTCTCTGCACATTTGTAAGCAAAAGTGTAAGCATCTCCGTCGCAAAAGAATGTAATAAACTTTTTATAAAAAAAAGTTGTAAAAGGAAGGACTTGACCAATTTTTCTTGAATAAGTTTCATAGATATTTCTTCCGTATGATTGTTAAATTTATTTGGCATTCACTCAAAAGTTCTACATGCTTAACTGTCTCTGGCGATATTTTTTCTTTAGAAAGATGCATTTTCTTATCATCCTGTGGTAGTTTTGATCAAAGGCCATTCTCTCGAAATAATTCTCCCTTCCCTTGTTCTCAAAATTGTCGTACCATTTGGGCGGAATATCTGAAGCCAATTGCGCTGGTCCCCTCATTTTTAGGTCTACTCAGGAGTAAATTCTATCCAAGTTGCTTACATGAGTTTCACTTTCAAGTTTCAACATCCTTGGATTAAGAAGAAACCTCTTAGTTATTAGTTATCTAACACTTATTCACGAACCTCAGAAAAGTCTTGGCATGCTTAAGAAAAATTATGAATTCCAACGTGCAAATTGGTATGAAATGTTCAATCCCCAAACCCCACCCCACACAACCAAAAAAAAAATAGAAAAGAAAAAAGAGGTTTAAACTTTAAAGTATTGTTTATATATATTTGTGGTTCTGCATATTACCACATAATCCTCTAATGTTTGAAAATATCTATATAAGCCCCTTACAGTATTATGTAAAAAAAAAAAAAAAAAAAAACTAGATGTGTTTCAAAAAGATATATAAAAAAGACAAAAAAAAATATATAAAGGGATTGTTGTTCTTTTTCTATTTTCATGGTCAGTGCCTCACACTTATATTTTATTTTGCCAAGTTAAATTAATGTTAACTGTTCTAGTTTTCATTTTCATAGGGTAGCATAGTGTATATTCTTTCCAAATAGCAAATAGTTTTGTTATGCCATTCATTTAAAAGTTGTAACTTGAAAGATGAAAACTCATTCTTTTGCAATATAACCCATTGTATTAGTTAATAGCACAATTTTGCTACCTGTTAGTACATATGTTCATTTCCTCTTACTAAGAAAAAATTAGAATGAATTATGTTAAGTTTTTTAATACAATTTGTTAGTAAAGAAAGCTTAATTACAAAAAAAAAAAATTCCTATTTTATGTTAACAACTATAAGCTTTCCTTATTTGGCTCATAATTTTTAGTTGAAGATTATTCTAATTTCAATTTAAATGCAGTTTATTAATAAAAAAATTTTTACAGTAGCTAAAGATTGAATAAATTTCATGTATTTATGATAAAACTAAAAATTGAGCATCAGGAAGTCTATATTTTACTTTTCGTATTGCACAATGGAACATGTACAACATGTAGTAATAAAATTTGATATTGGGTTTGACCAAAAATGAAATTACAATTTTAACAATCCGTTTTGAAAACTAAATTAATTTTGTCACAATTACTTTTATATTTATACCGGTGAAAATATTACAAATCTCCAATTAAGATTGTAAATTTAGCTATTTCATGTCTTATGTGGAAACATAAGATATAATATTGTCAATGTAAATAATATCTTAGAATAGGACGAAATTTTCTATTATCAAATCTTAGTGTCACTTTTCATTTAGAATTATTGGAGTTGAAAGAAAGAAAGAGAAAAACCTAGGCATTTCCATAGAAAAATTTTTAAAGAAAGACAAAAAAAAAAATTTTTTGAAAGAAAAACCTAGGTTAAGCAACATGGTTAAAAAAGCTAAAGTCAATGGTTGAAAATTACATTATACATGTGTCTGTTATCCAAAGATATGCTTAGGAAAATTTGAGAGAAGGATAATGGAGAGGAGGCTACTCCTTTAGAATTAGAATGCTATCCAAATGCTGTGCCAAATGGGCGTAAGAAGGATGCTACTTTCAAGTTTCAAGCTAAAGTTAAGGACTTATAACCCATTAAGCACACTTCAAACACGCCAACAACAATATGAACACGCCAACGCCAATGACAATACTATTGACTTATAACCCATTAAACACGCCAATCACAACATAGATCCTTCTACTTTTTTTCCGAAAATTGTATTAGTGAAGAAATTTCTATATTTTTGGGGTTCAGAGATGTTGATTCATGTCTTAGTTCACATTTTTAACTCAAATGTTGGCCACAAAATGTGAAGTCACACTATGATATAGGATTTTATAAGTAGTCGTATTGAAAATTTTAGTTTGTAAAATTCAGGGTCAATTCACTATGTTAAGACAACTTATAATTGTTTGATATTGTCCCATTTGCAGCGATCTGTACTAATTTTCCAAGATATCATATTCGCAAATTAATACAGACCCGGAGATCACGAAATTAGGAAAGACCAATTGCTGCTTTTGTCCTAAAAATTTCTTTAAATTGATGCAAAAAAGTTCTTCCAGGAAAGAAAAACTGAGGAGTTCGTGAGCCTCCAATAGAAGGAAGAAAAGTTAGATACCATCAAATGATTTTTGTATCTAAATCTTTAGTTGATACAATTTGTTCAAAGTTGTATTAACAGAATACCGAATGCTAGTTGCATGTTTATACGTGAATAACCGGACTTGTCATAGTGCCGTCTTGACTCAGTCTTTGAGAAAAAAATATGGCGGAATTTAAATTATCCTTTCTTTTATGGATGGTGAAAAAATAACAATGACTTGAATAATGTTGCAGAGCCTTTGGGCCATGCTCCTTCAAGACTTCCATGACATAGTTGACGAAGACTTTCTACCAATATTCTTGTTCCTCTTGTCCATATCAGGACCACATTAAAGCAGCAATTGAGAAACACAACTTAAAAGCTGAAAAGATTTTATGCATAGTGCCAAACCATTCTTTCATTTGTCTCCAAATTTCTGGAGAACTTTTCAAAGAATTATGGAGATAAAAGCTTCTGAAATTATACAAGAGCAGTGTGATGCTTAATTTGATTTTCATAGAAACTTTCGTGGATCTATGAAATTTCTTAATCCGGAAATATACACGTAATTAATACAAGATAGCAATTGTTTGAAATATTTCTTGAATGGTGCTCTAATTTTACCTGCAACGTGCTAGAAATTTAGTTGCTAAAAAAGTTTTACAAATAAGGATTTATTGGCGTGATTGAGCAATGAAAGGGTTCATAAGAGAAAAAAAGTGAAGCAAAATAGATATTAAAATTTAGTATTGTGCATAATTCATGAAGTAGTAAGACATCCAGTACAAAATCAGATAGATAACAAATACACAGACCACCTCTCCTCTTTAGGTCAGAAAGACTTTAGTTTCTGACTTTTAACATTTCTTTCACCTTTTACAATAAGTTAATCGAGAAAAGAATAGATCTCACTACATATTTGTCCGAATGCAATTCCGTAGAAGGCCTAACAGTCCAACTTCTAGTCGACATCATTAAATTTTCTGCAAGACTTAACACATTAGCGTGTCTTAATTGGAATGCTTAGCATAGAAAAACATTGTGACAGTATGTAATATTCTCTGTAGTAAAGTGATGTGATGAAGAAACGATAGGGAAATATGTTGAATTGATGATCTCTAGAAATTAGCCCCACAAGTTGATCTGTGACAGAATTCTAAGCAGGAAAGTGATGTAATTACAAAATTACATTCAAATTGATGATATTGGCACGGCCTGATTACAGCCTTTAAACCGTTGAGAAGTAATGTAGAGACGACATCAGTGAATTCATTGCTGGAGATATCTGTAAATCTTCCGAACATAATTTTTTTTTTTTTTCTGAACGTAAGTTGATTGATTCTTCAAAGTGCTAATGGGTCCAAAAAACCAAATAGCTTTCCAAGTCTTGGAATTTGGAAAACTTCCGAGTTAGTCATGTTGGAAACATGTCACCTTTATATGCGTGTTGGGAACGTCAAGGGCTTCCAATTTTCTTCAGAGTTAGTTAATTATCGTGTTAAACGGTATAAACAAAAGGCAATCATATATATATATATTAGATTATGAATAATTTTTTTGATAGCAAATCAAAGGCTCTGTTGTTAAAATTGAAAATGAAGCATCCTACTTTTCCTTCTTAACAATCTCCAATTGAAGGGAATGTATATTTACAATTTTGTCCGAATTACATTAAAGTGATCACTCCTTTGAAGGGCAACTTTGTGCTAACTATTTTTTTTTTCGCCTATTACAATTAGTTAGTCTAGGAAAACAAGGATTAGTCTGGAAGGGCAGCTCCCAGATTGATTCCATGGAAGACCTATGAGTCCAACTTCAGCTCCACATTGTTAAAATTCTTGCAAGGCTTAACATAAGGCCCAACTAACAATTGTGTGACACTTTGAATTAAAATCTAGTAAATAGCATTTAGGAAGGGCCCAAGTCCTAAGGCCCGCCCAACTGACATCTCTAACATTTCTTTGCACAAGAAAAAAAAAAAACCCATTTTCCTCAGAAAATGGTTTCTACATCCATATAATATCGGTTAGGCAGAGAATGGCAATGTATTTTCTTTAGACTTTAATGGCAATGTATTTTCTTTAGACTTTAATGGCAATGAATAATGACCAATAAAAAATAACAATTAGATTTCTTGATAACTATAACTAGTCGATTTGAGTCATTGGAGATAATGTTGCTTGCTTCGGAAAGTCATCGTTCTGATCAAATAAATTAAGCGTAAAAGATGAAGGACAATAAATTAGATACGGATAATGAGCTTCTCACAATTTTCTTTTTAACAAATGCCTTCAAATACTTAGATTCATGTAAACACACTTAAATTGTCTTGAAGACTATACTTGGATCATGTACAAACAAGCTGACAAGATATTTTTTAAAAATATTATGATGTATTTACCCTTTATCATGTACCCATTGAAATTTTTTAATAAACAGCTCAGACTTTAGGTCTAACCACCCGTCACTTTTCGGTTATTTTTTAAATTAAAAAAAAAAAAAGCGGACAAGAGACATAATCATTTGCACAGATTATGGAAAGCAAAAGATTAAAAAAAATGTAGAATGAGGGAGAAAACATAAACCATAGAAGATGATCAAATAATGGAAAATAAATTAATCATGAAATGAGCAGAATTTACAAACCTAAAATCATTCAGAAGATAAACCAGTCCATAACCTACAAGCGAATAAAACCCGGGAAAGCTTAACGCTCGAAATGGTGTCAACTTTGATACATATTAATATATTACTCCTTTGATTATCCCGCATTTGGATTGCTATTTTTTTGAGTTTTTTGTAGAAAAAATTAGTGTAGTGATTTGATATGTATGAAGTAAAAATGTAATTGAAAAATATGATCACAGAAAACGTATCAATTTTTTAGAGGAAAACAGCAATCCGAACTTGGTGATCAATAAAGAAAACATGTACGTGTGTGTGACGCTAGTAGGAGTCGTGTGTGTGTGTGTGTGTGTGTGTGACGCTAGGGGGAACTGATTATTCAACATATAGAGAGAGATTGAATAGATATAGACTGAAAATATATATATACATTCAGAAAGACATTTGTGACTTCCTAAGATCAAATGCTTCTTTGTAAAACTGTGAACTCTTATCTAATTAGGCATTTTGTAAAACATTCTTCCTTTCTTTTCTTTTCTTTCTTGCGATTAAAAAGGCTGTAAGGATTTTTCCCCCCTTTTTGGGTCAGACGGAGGCTAAAGGCAGCAAGAGTTTGTGCAAAATGGAATAGTCATCTAAGGTCTAGCCGCATGGGGCTACAGATAGTGAACAATTTCTTGAATTTCATCAATTTCTTGAAAATAAATCATTACAAGAATCTCATTACAAAATACAAAGTAGTTGAGATCAACATTCTACTTACAAGGCGAACTTAATTTTAATGGTTAAATGGGGAAAGCGAACAATAAATTGTCCCAAATATGACCATTCTAAAGTTTACAATTTTTTTTCTTACTTTTCATACCACATATGCACAACTTTTCCGGGTGGGGCAAAAGAAAGGGAAGTTTCATCAGAAACTTTTGCTGCTGCACATTGGTTACGGTATCTGAAAAGCCAAACACTACGCCATTAATGAAGAATTTCCTTTTTTTTTTTTAAGAGATGAACTTTATGTGGTCTAATAATGGTATTCAATTGTCATTTTTTTTTTCTCAACTCAAGTCAAGACTTTTATTGAGAAATTAACCCTAATCCCAGATTGAACTCCAAAAACCAGCAATTCTTGAAGCCAACTCAGGGACTTAACTACCCCTCTCAGAACCGATGTGGGATAACCAACCTAAAGGGGGAACCCTGCTGCTAAGTGGGATCCAACCACCCAAGTACCCAATCCCAGAGCTGGTTGTCTTTTTTGTCCAACTCAAGCAAAGACTTTTGTTGAGAAATTAACCCTAATCCCAGATTGAATTCCAAAAACCGACAACTCTTGGAGCCAACCCAAGGACTTAACTACCCAACCCAAACCCCTCCCAGTATTCAATTGTCATTAGTACTTCATATTTGTTAAGGGAAACACTCACTATCTAACTTCGGAGAACCGTATTTGGAAGCGACTGGAAGTGCACTACTGTGTGTGTGTGTGTGACCAATTTGGTTACCCACTTTAAACGCTCCGTTTGGCAAGAAATTGAGGTGTGAAAGATAACTGGCAGGGATAGGACGATTGCATGTTCAATGTGTTAAAACTCTGGAACTAAAAAAAGGAATATGCTGTGGGAATTTGTCTTCAAAGCAAGTCGGTTGATTCTTCGGAATATTTATGTCGTTGAACAAGAATTAATACAGCAAAGATGGGAAAACTACCGCTTTTAGTAATAATTAATTCGCTATGCTTCTTGGACAAACTTTTTGAACAAAGCATTTTTCACATGTGGAATTAGTTAAACACAATTAAGACCGGACAACTTTGCCATACTGAACTACTTACGCAATTAATAGTAATTATCCATTGAAATGTCTTCTTGCTTACAATTATAAACCTACAGATTCAGCGCGCAAGCAACCACAAGGCTCTGAGGCTTGAAAACCACGAGAAACAAGCCTAAAAAACACTCCATGGATAGACCTGGGCACATACGACTGCAAATGAACCAAATCTTTTCTTATTTCCACTCCATGGATAGACCTGGGCATTAGAAGTCAAGCTTTTCAGACCTGGGAAAAACTAAAGAAGAAGATAATGTTATAATTGGTAATTATGCAAAGGAATAACATTAATTATTTGATAATAGGGGGTAGAAAAAGAATGCTTTGCTTACCAGTTATGTAAATTATCGCTCTGCCCTTCTTAAGTGCGTATGTGGATCCATTTCCTCGTCGCCTTCGCAATTTGACGACTCTCGACAATTCGTACAACCATCTTGGTTTTCCAGTTGAGAATACGAGACCTCCCATAACTGATCCGAGCACTAATCACAGCCATATCCCAGGAGAACAGCTTTCCAAGTGAACCCATCAAAGAATTCAGAATCATCATATTGTTGTTTAGCTTCCATGGCGTGGCTGGTGGTGGTGCCTCTGTATCTCCACAATCTTTGGCAGTGCAAATCCACACAAGTCCAGTTCCCTCTGTATGAATCGTCTCCAAATGTATCAAAGTGCCTTCCTCTTGGAATGGGTCCGACAAGGCGATTTTCAGAAAAGTTTAAGAATTCAAGAAAATCCAGATTCACTAGCTCCGTAGAATGGTTCCTATCAAGTCGGTTCCAGAGAGAGGTCCAGAGATTCAAGCATACTCAAATTCCCTAATGCCTTAGGAATTGGGCCACTGAAGTTATTATGAGCGAGAGAGAGTGTTTGAAGAGAATGAAGGGGATCCGATATTCTCGGGAATTTGTCCTTCGAATCTGTTGCTTGAGAGGTCAATCACTGTTCGAGTTATTAGGACTCTTTCAAGACTATACTCCACCCCTTGATAATCAAACTCACAGAATGGACGTAATAAGGTCCTTTTCCTTCAAAAATGAGTCCTTTGTCATATACTCAACTCCCTTTTGGTCATCCTCTGAACTTTTCATAGCTGCGAAGTTGTTGAGGATTTCCGTAGGTAGAGCACCAGTGAGCACGTTGTGGGATGCATCAATAATTCTCAACAGAGGAATGGACTTTTCGTCTGACAATTGCCAATTGCTCGTGAAATCGATTAGATCTCAATATTAGGACCCCCAGGTTAGAAAGAATTTCCAACCAAACTGGAAATTTATCATCGATCTTGTTGTTCCCTAAATCAAGGAGTTCCAGACCTTCACCAATTGGCTAAAGATCGTGGCAATGACCCTTGCAATTGATTGTCATTCAGCATAAGAAACCGCAGATAGTTTCCATCTGAAAATGTTGTGGGAATGGTGCCAAAAAGCCTATTATTTCCCAAATCCTAATTTCTAGATACGCGGTGGAGTTTCCCAAGCATTGAGGAATTGGGCCGGACAAATTGTTATTTGACAAATCAAGAATACAAGAAAACTTAAGTTATAGATAGAAGATGGTATTGGCCCTGAGTGAGTTGGAACTCACATCTAGAGAATATAGATCTGGAGTAACAGGTAGTGGTCTATATGGTACCGGTCAAAAAGTTATGTGAAAGGCTCAAGTGGAAACTGATCAAAATCTTAGACATGAACCAGCTTGTGAATTTTGCTGCGAATCATGTTGTTTGAGAGGTCCAGAAATTCTAAACTCTCTGAATTTCTTATAGAAACTCTAGAAACCCTTTATCTAGCAAGAAGACAATCCCAAGACCCGGAAATCTGGATAGGAAATGCTCACATTGTTTGTAGTGTTCCATGGTGCTTCACTGTTAAAACTAAAAGCGTTGTTTTGAAGCTTATTGGAGTTCACATATAAGTCTTGTCTTACCCCCGTAAAAAGGTTAGATGAAAGGTCAAGGAGGATAGGGCCGGAATGCTAAAAATTGATGGGAATGAATCGCTTAGTTGATTACTGGAGAGATCTAAATATTCAAGATGCTTAAGGTTGAGAAGTGAGATCGGAATGTTCTCGAACAATAAATTATGACCAAGTGACAGCCTACTTATCTTTGTGAAATGAAAAATTTATCTGGAATATTACCTCGAAGATAGTTATCGTCCAGATGCAATTCAGTAAGCTGTGTAAGGTTGCCAATTGATTCAGGAATGACACCGAAAATTTGACAATAACTTAGATCCAAATGATTTAAGGACCCCATGCACCAATTGAATCTGGCAGTGCAGCGAGAAACTTGCATGTGATAGGTCCAACTACCTCAGAGAATTTGAAATGCTGCAGTTCAACTTAGGTAAACTAACAGTAAGATTCTCATTGCCACCTAAGAAGAGAACTCGCATATTTGGCAGATGAAAAACATTACTCGGTAGATTACCTCTTATTCCAATATCCATGAGGTCTAGATACGTCAAAGATGAAGAAAAATTCACCCTCAACTCGGAGAGATGCTCACCGATAAAAGCGATAACGCTCTTAAATAGATTTTGATATCTTGCCAGTTTGTTATTTGATAACTTTAAAGTGATTCAAGGTCGATAGAAAGACATTGTTCAGAAAAATGTGAAATAGCAAGACATTTTTAGTTTAATCCCAAGTGTTTCTTTTTTTTTTTTTTTTGTCCGGCCTCTTTTATAAGGTTTGGAGTCTCCCCATAAATTAAAAAAAAAAAAAGACTATGAAATATAGAATATACTGATATATAAAGTATCCATTTAAACTCCATCCCTGAGTACAGACTAAATATCTTGTTTTTAGGGTACGAAAAGAATAATGGTTGTTAGACGAAGTATGAAACTGATCTTTCAAGAGTTGAAAATAGTGAAATGACTAAAGAACGTTAAAATTTCACACAAGACTTTTAATTCGAACAAACTACAAGCATACGTTCAAAAGTGTGTAGGTTCTTGTAAGGCTTTTATAATACTTTGTTCTAAATGTACAAGTTAAGCATACCAAAACAGAGGGAGTAAGCCCCCTTTAAAATTCTAACATTATTTCCACCCCTAATTGTGTAAACTTTTGGATAGAAATTTTAAAATTTTGTTGAATAAATTAATTAGTTCCACCTATTATTCTGTACGTTCAGGACACAAAATAGAAATACCTTTCTATAAGATGTACACAAAACTGATAAGAGGGTTTTTTTTTTTTTGAAGGAAATGATAAGAGGTTTGACACAGGCCATCCTTAGGTTTAGGTAAATGTATTTTTTTCAAGGTAAATGTTTGATAAGTGACTTTGAAGCATCTTCATGATCAATAAATCCATTGGGTTTAAAAAGTGATGCAATTTGTTGCTCATCATTTGTATACGTTGTTCTACGTGTAATAATAGTCTGTCACCTGGCTCTACCTATAAGAAAAACCTCTTACAACTTTCTTTGAATAAGACCTCCTCCACACCTTTATATAAACCGTTATGCTGATCATAAATTTATCAAGCAAGCAGATGAAGAGACAAATAACATTTTTTAGTGCTTTGTGCCGTCATGATGACGCCGTTGCACTGCTTCAATTCAAAGAAATGTTTAGCATTTCAACTTATGCTTATCTAGATTGTGAGGATTTGGGTCAGTATTCATATCCAAAAACAACACATTGGAAAGCGGATACAGATTGTTGCAATTGGGACGGCGTCACATGCCACAACTTCACCGGTCGTGTGATTCGGCTGGATCTGAGTTGTGGCCAGCTTCAGGGAGTCATCCATCCAAACTCTAGCCTTTTCCATCTCTCCCATCTCCACAGCCTCAACCTTGCTTTTAACAATTTCACACCGATTTGGCTCGCTAAAAATTTTGACCCACCTCAATCTCTCATTTTTCAAATTTCGAAAATGAATTTGCTTCAGAAATATCACACCTTTCCAACCTAGTTTCACTTGATCTCTCTTTCAATAAGTTTTTAAGATATGAACCTAGCAATTTTGAAACGATGCTTCGAAACTTATGGTGTGTTTGGTTCTACAGAATTGAAATTGAATTGGAATTGGAACTCTATTGAATTAGAATTCTATGACTTGGAATTCCAAAACACTGGAATTCTTTTGTTTGGGTAATGCATAGAATTGATACAGAATTCATTTGGAATTCCAAATTCTTTGTTTGGATGGGAGAAGAATTCATTAAAAATTAGAATTGTTTCCAACTAACATTTCCTTACATAAAAAATTTCTTTTTTTTTTACTATATAATAATTTTTTAACATTTAGCTAATTGTTACTAAAGCTTTAAGGAAAAAGTCAATTAGTGCCTTTAATAATTAATTTTTCTTGCATTTAACTAATTGTTACTAAAGCTTTAAAGAAAAAATAACAAATTAGTTCCTTTTCTGCAAAAAAAATATTCTTTTTTCTTAATTAAATTATATCAAATAAAAAATAATTGTATATTCTAACTTAAAAAGTAGTTAATATTTATCAAGTTAAAACCTTGATACTTTTTTTAAAGTTAAGATCTTTAAATTTTAGAAAATCAAAAGCCTACTTTATGATATGAATTGGGGAGGAAAGTCATAACTTGTACCTATTAAAAATGTTTGAGTTTTGTATCTTACAAGAAATTCTAATAGATGAATATGCAAACAAAGTGATTTTAGCCACAAAAAAAAAAAAAGAGAAAGAAAAGAACAATTATACATTGCTACTATTTTCAATAAATGGCCATTCTAAAATTTGAAATCATGCCAACGTGCCTGAGGGTCAAACTATAAATAGGAAACGTATGACAGTTGATGATGATTGTAAAACATGCTTTACTTTATATAAGCACAAATCAATAATGAATTACTTTTTTTTTTTTTGTGTTTGCTATCTATTACCAGATAGCTATTGAAAAATTTGCAAATTAAGGAAGCTTGTTATGAAAACCTTGAAATGTGAAAAACATAATTTGTGTGTATTTCTGGTAATCATTCTTTTTAAACTGAATATTATCCTTTAATGAAAAGTCCTAAGGCATAAGTATGGACGGCTTTCGATTTTTCTAATAGATCCACTAACTCGAGAACTTATCTTGTGATAATGAATGATTGCAAATAAAGGACCCAAATTTTCTGCTGTAAAGGCTATCTTTTCTTTTCTAACTTAAAATTGAATAAGCAAAATCGAAAAAAAAAGAAGTTAAAATAAGAAAGCGATTTATTCATTAAACATTGACGTAGAAATCATCTTATGTTTAATTAAGAGACAAAAAGGCTCAATGGTCACCATCATTACCACAAAATATTCCCCATTTGTTGTGGTGATAAAATTGAGGAATGAGGATGAAGTTTTTGGGTTGAAACGTTAAGCCTAAAAGTTGACAATCCTTTTTTTTTTTGTCCGTCCAAATTGACAACCACTAGTTAATCCACTGGCTAAGATGCTCTCAATTACTTAATGCTGGTGTTAAAATATTGTCTTGTATTACAGGCCTTGAAAATTTCTCATATGATTCTCTGTGTTTGCATTATTCTTTATTGATAAACAATTATCTGTTCACATTATAAACACGTTTTCTATTATCTTTTTCTTTTAATTTTTCAATCATCTTTTTATTTCATCACACATTACATTACAAAAAAAAATTACAGTATTATTCTAAAAGAAATTTCCAAATAATACTAAGTAATTCTCTGGCCAAGCGCACCTAATGAAGGGGTAAATGTACAAGAAACAATCTTGATATGAAAAAGAGAGTAATTCAAAACCTTAAAATGTGTTGATATATAATTCCTAGAAAAAAGCATCTCCCACCCTATTTTTGATCGAAATATTCTATTCATATTTATTGAATTGAACTAGATCAAATTCCAATCCCATATATGACCCCAAAATGTGCTTCATCTTGAAAAATGAAAAACAAAATCTTTTAGCTTAGGATGCAGAGTGTAAGCATCTGGCACAAAGTGCAGTATATCCATCATTGACATATTCATAATCAATTTTATAAAGTAAGATATTCATTTGATATTGATACATTGCAACATATGCATGCAATACAACGAAAAATATTACACCATTCTCAGCAAAACCATACAGAAGATAGTAGCACTTGAAGCCGATGATGTTTACCCTCACCATCCATCTGAATCTCCATCTGACTCCTCAATTTCTTCTGAGATAAGGATTTTAAGATCCGGATTTCCATAGTCTCTCTGCTGTTGCATAATCTCTCGAACTGAATCCCCAGTAGAGAAGAGGCATCTACGCACCTCAATCAATTGAAGAGTTTGAGATTCCCCTAAACAAGAAGGGAGCTCTTCCAACTCTGCACAACCTTCCATTATTAATCTCTCAAGACTGGGAAAGTGATCTCCTGATCCCATCCATTTGACAATGCTCAAATCCTTCAATTTCAAGAACTTGAGTTTAGGGAAGATTTCCTTTTCTTCCTTGCCTTCCATGTCCCACTCCTTTACCCCATCAGCTTGTCGGAGTAATTTAAGAACCTCGAGATTTGGTAGCTTTCTGATTGTGGACATTATGCTCCATGAGAAGTCCTCCAGCGTCAACTTCTTAAGATTCGAGGGGAGATGATACTCGATGGGATGCGCAGTCACTTTACCCAGAAGCAGCTTTAGTGATTCTAGTTGATTCAGAAAATCCATTGCCACAATCCTTGTGCCATCACAAGAAGATTCCTCTGACTGTAGCAGACAGCATTTCAGTCTGCGGATATTTGGAAACTTTCTGATGATCTTTTCCATGCTTTGCCCAAGATAAAGCTTCATAGTTGAAAAAGAGTCTAAATTGTTCAAGATGCAGGAGCTTTCAAGGTTATCATTGGCCAATGTAATATCAATCAAAGCACCATACACATGCAGATGCCTCAATTTCTGCATCTTTAGAAGAGTATCTTGCAACAAAAAAAGACCAACATTATCCTTTGTTCTCACAAGAAAAGTTTCCAAATTTGAGAGCTTTTCTAGTGAAGATGGAATGCCATTCTTGAGCCAACCTAGAACTGCCAAGTACCTCAGCTGAACAAGCGACCATAATTCCCTCGGGAAATCAGAACCTAGACTAATATTTTTTCCAAGTCTAGCACAATAAGAAGTTTCAGGAGAAAAATGAAACCAAAATTGCACCGGAGTTGGCGGACCCCAAAATCTCGAGATGAATATAATAGAGAGCGTATTTGGGGACAAATTATCCTAGATTTGATGAAATGCTTTGGTTGAGCTTGAATAGATAATCGACGTGGGTTGTACGGCTCATCAAATGTAAGATCCTCATCATACCCTCGCACCAATTGTAGAAAATTTTGTTTTTTGGCTATTTTCACACAAAAGACATGCAACAAATCATGAATGCGGCAGGTCTTGACCTCACCTGCGCATCTTCGTTGCCCCACCATAACTAAGCTTCTGTTGATTAGAGCCATTATATAGCCTTCTGCTATTTTCTCTGGGCACTCCGACCCGCTCTTCTGCACAAATCCTTCAGCGATCCATAACCATGTCAACCTCCGGACACAAATTTCTGAATCTTCTCGAAAGGCTCCAAAGTAAAGAATGCATTGCTTCAAATGGTCAGGCAGATGCCCATAACTCAGCTCTAGTATGCTGCTGCATTGTTCTGTGGCACCAACCATGGCAGTTAAACTCACCATTTTTGCGACTTCTTCCCACCCAGCTTGATCGAGAGTTGCAAGGATACCAGATATGATGGCAATTGATAGAGGCATCCCATTACAAGTTTTTGCTATTTTCCACCCGAGAAAATTTTGTTCTTCGGAATAGCCTTCTTCTCTAATAACTGCCAACTTCTTCTGTAGTAATTCATAGCTTTCTGATTCATCAAGTGTCCTAAGATGATAAGGTGTGCCAATAATATCAGTAAGTCGACTTGTTAAGAGAATTCGGCTTCCATTGTTTTTCTCTGGGAATGAAGATTTTAAAGCATTCCATGCTTTAATGTCCCAAACATCATCCAAAACTATGAGAAACTTCTGTTTCAACAAGCGTTGCCGGAGTTCAAGAGCCAATTGATAATCATCCTTCTCAGAAAATTGAGTTTTCTGATCAATGCAAGCCAAAATCTGAAGCAACAAATCTCTCTTGCAATATGTTTGGGAGATACAACACCATGCCTGAATGTGGAAGTGAGATGTAACTCTAGGATCACGGTAAACTCTTTGTGCCAAAAAAGTCTTGCCTAGTCCAGCCACGCCCACAACGGAGATGATGTCCAGCTGCTCTAGACCTTTTATAAGTTTATCAATCATTGCTTGCTCCACATCCTGCAAGACCACCTCAGCTTTATCGACTGTTGGGATACTACTCGATGATGACACCTGGTAAGATGCTCCACTCGTCTTGCTTTTCACTGTTTTCAAAAAATTAAAAAGAGAATGAAATATCATTAATAAAAAATGGAGTGCTAACATTGTGATCCATTCAACTATTGTTGAGATGTTACCTTGTGATGTCATATGCCTCGGAATCTTGGTAGCTTCCTGGGCTAGACTTTCGACGAGCTTAATTTCTTGTGCAATATCATCAATAACATCAGAGAGTAGAATGAGATATCCTTAGTAAGGAATTCGATAACAAATTCTGCCTTGAATGCAACCTCTATGACACGACTCCCAAAGGGCATGGGGATCTTCCTGATGGTTGTGTTGCTCCCCATTTCCTTCCAATAATGATCTTAAAGATACAAGATCATCTTTTCATCGTCTGAAGTTGGTGCTTTTCATTCATGATGTGCTGCTCCAAATTATTCTCCAAGAATGACGTTAAGAATGGGACATCAGCTTGCATCTTTTTGATGTTGGAGCTTTTCAAGCCGGATCTGCCGCTCCACATCAATGGCCCAGGGTGTTTTGTACACTTTTGCAAGTTCTTGCCCAGGAAAACCAGTGGGAGAAGATCGGTCAACTCTAGTGCATTGGATCTTGTTCAAGTATGAATTTAAGCAGTCAACTCCATCCTTTGCAAAAGAAAAATATTGGATCAACTTCACAGCTTTCCAGTTCCTTCAACTTTTCTAGAACAAGATCGATCAACTCTAGTGGCATTGGTTGTTGGAAATTTGGACCTTATGATGCTACAGGATACTTTTTCTCAATTTCTGCCTTAACAAGCTTGATCTTCTCCAGTAAACAAAAGAGCTTAAGATCAATTTCCACGGCTGAAGCTTCTCGGACATTGTCCTGATATAGTGAGAAAATTACAATCCCAGCATCACTGACCACAGCCCCAAAGCGATCTTTGATTCCTCCCGGAAGCCCATCAAAATCGTCTTGCTGCTTCATCAAATGCCTCTCAAGAACTGCAGTCCCTCGTAGAGTATCCGAATTTGATGCTTTAGAGATGAAGTAAACCAGGCAGGACACTTTACGAGAAACTCCCAAAGATTACCTAGGAGAGAACCTACAAAACCCCCACTATAGACATATTAGCCTTGGTAGACATCCCAAGTGATGAAGACATGGATTCCAAGGTGCTGATATAAGCCAAACGGACTGGCTCAACACGGGCTTGATCTGATCTTTTACTTCATCAATCTTGGAGCTGATTTCAACAAAAACTTCATTATCATCTCTGAAAAACCAGCAACTTTGACAAAGATGGGCTGCAGACAGAGCCACAACTCCACAGTGTTCCATAAGTTTCCGCTCCTGCTTGCCTTGTGACCTAGCAAAGAGAATGGAGTTTTTGAGGAATACTAGCTTCTCTTGCAAGGGCTCCAACAGTTTTTCAAGTTCCGAATCGTAGGCTTCACCCCAATTGAGAATATCCAACAAATTCTCTAGCAAGGAGTGGAAGAAATCCATGAACTCATCTGTCAAAGAAGAACTGGATGCCAATAAGCGATCCAACATACTGGGATACCTTTTCCCGTATGATTCACCGTCCAAAAAATAGAGCCCCGCTTTCTCAAATCTGTTGTATTGAATCGTATTCTAGACTCAGAGACGGATTTCGCTAAGGAATCGGAAATAATCGACATAGGATTTCCTGATTTCTTGCTTAAAACTCTTTAGAATGCCTCCAAAAGTTGAAGCTGATCCAGCCAAGTCGCTGGGGACAATCCATCATCCTCGAATACAAGAAGAAGAGAGTAAAACTGCTGCCCATATTCATGAGCAGATAATTCCAAACCACCCCGGGAATATCCCAATTTCCACTGACACAGAAGGTGTTTTCACAAGTCCAAGCTCCACCTTCAGCTCATTCGAAGCACGATCATACTTGCAGAGATCACCCTGGGGAACCAACAGCCGCAGTTTATCTAAGATGGAATCAATGCAAGTCATCAACTCCATCTGCCATGTTCTTTTATACATCCCTATTCCAGTATTCTCAGATTTCTATCTCTACCCTTTCAGTAAGTGATTGTTTGTTCTACCTCTCAATGAAATGATTTGGTAGCTTTCAAAACACCAGTACTAACTAATGCATTATTCATTAATTGAGTAAAAAAAATTTATAAAAAATATTTAGATCAACTTTATATGATCAAAGTGTAAATGAACTTTTCAAAGTTTGAAATATTACTATCAAACAACACAATTTATCTAATTGTTTATTTTTAAACAAGCACCCCGAAAAGCTTAAAAAATTCATAATTTTGCAAAGAAAGTAACATCGAACCTACCTTTTTTTTTTTTAATCCGGTGTCCTAAAGGTATAGAATAGTATGGCGCTTATCTTAGTTTTCTGATATTATTGTCAAGTAAATGTTGACTTTCCTCGGATGCTATCATCCTCGATTAGGATTTATTAGCGGAGTAGAGATACTAATTAAGTAATTATTCCCGCGACAACTTCACTCTAATTAATGATAGAGGACCGACTTTTTCTAAAATAATGTTGAGTGGAGGTGTAACCATTTGCTAATCAAAAGACAGAAATTATATGTTGAAGGAATAAGCACAATTCCATAATTCTTTTGGTTTCTTTTTTTTTTTAATTTTGGGTGTTATCATTTATTAAATAGCTGTTGGAAAATTTGCGAATCAAGATAACTTTCAGATTTTTATATATAAAAGATTTTCGGACTCGAGCCCTTCTTTTTTCTTCTTGTTCTAACTTTTATTGAATTTTTTGCGAATGAAACTTCAGTGAAGTTGAAGGCTGCATTTTGTGATTGGCCCAAAACTTAAAGTCGAAGCGATGGATTAAATAATTAAACATTGACATAGTAATCATTAGCACAAGCCATTGAGGGCGATGTTGGTTGAAACCTGGAGGCTATAAGTTGAGATTTATTTAATTCATTAGGTAAGATGCTCTTAATTACTTAATCCTGCTGTTAACGTGTGAATCATAGTCTCGCAATTTCACTAAAAGTCATTGAAATCTATCAAGTGAAACCTATCAAGTCATTAAAAATTGTTGCCCTCATTCTACCTAACCCATCTCTCCTTTGAAGGCAGTAGCCTCTTGTATAGTTTTGTGATTTTCTCATTTTTACTCATTTACGTTTCAAAATATTCCCCTAAAAATCTCCTTAAAGAAAGTAATTAGACTATAAAATTTTTGAATGTGATACTGCGAGATAAGCAACTTTCACCCTAGTTTGGATTCAAATATTTTAGGGATAATTTCAGAAACCTCCCCTGAAGTTCCTGACAATTTCATTGATCTCTCTGGAGATTTGAAAAATTACACATACCACCCTTATCATTTAAAATGACAATTTTATCGTTAAATATTTTAATGAGATTCCCTTATTTGGTATGCTTATATTTAGAATGAGGTTTAAAATTATTTTTTTATTATTTTTCCTTCTTATTCCTTTTTTAAATTTTTCACAAATAAAACTGTAGAACTATCACACTATTGCTTCTAGTTTCTATTGTAACCAAATGTCAAACTAGTAATTTTTTTTACGAGTTAATTTTATATGTAATCCAAAGTTTTGCTGATCTTTGTTTTTTATTTTTTGGTACTAAATTAACAATAAATCAAAAAGAAATGACCCAAAATCATTACCAAATTATGATAATCCCATTATCCGAAAAATTCATAAACTCTAAATGAATTATTTCAACATTTTCTTTTCTATCTTATATATCTAAATGCATAATAAGGTACCATCAAAAGTATCCTATCATATGATAAAATTATTATTATATTTGTTTATTAAATAGTAGGTATAGACATAAAAAATTTGGAACCTTTTCCTTATAATTATACTAGATAATCTTATAATTGTATAGAAAAATAAATTAATAGATAAGAAAATAGAAGAATTCGTCACTCGAAGGAGAACTGGATTCCAAAAAGCTCTCCAGATATGAATTATGACTCTTGTTGCAATAGTCATACCTGTCACGGCCCTGAGAGACAGATTTTAGCAAGGAGTCCAACATCTCGACGTACATTTTACTGATTTTTTGCCTACAATTCTTTAGAATTCTTTAGTTATCTCTGAGGAATAACGCAATTTCCTTGCACAAAGGAAAAATGTTTTCACTAGGCTCAACTCTACCTTCAGCTCCTTCAGGGTTCAGACCATGATCATCCTTGCAGAAACCTATGATCGAATCAATGCAAGTCCTTGCCTCGGTAGACAGAGTGAGTGATGGCGATTCAGATTCCCAGACACCAGTATAAGCCAAAGAAGTTCGGTCAGCAGCAGAGTTGATCTTGTCCACCGATTCAGAAGTCTTCAAGTGAATTCCATCTCTTAAAATCCAACAACAAAGACGTGTTGCGAATAGAGCCACAACTGGAAATCGCTTGATAAAATTGAGCTTTCTCCTCCGGCTAGGGTAACGTAACTCTTCCAGTGATGTTGGGTTGATTCGAACAGGTACCAAGACTGCTGCAAATCTTGAATCACAGCGTATACCGAGGCGGAGAATGCGCTGTACATCCTGTTGGAAGGATATGAAAAGACCAATGAATTCATATCTCTCATGAGACATCTCTTCCCATCCACCCGTCAAGTCATGCTCCCAGCGCTGCTGCAAATATCTCATGCTGCATTCCGAAAAGAGTAGGACCATGGAATCCCACATCCCTTTGTAAAAATCTGTGATTTGTTGCCTAAAATTCTCTAGACTTTCTCGATCTGCTTCAGTGGAGGGCAATCCATCCTTAAGAAGAAGAGAATAAAAACCCTGCCAACCTTGATGAACAGAATCGTCAAGACAACGGGTCTGTTGCCTAAAATTCTTCAAAAAATCTCCAAAAATGGAGGCTGCTGCAATTGAGTCGTCGCCGGACAATGCCTGATCTAATTTAAATGAAGAGTAAAGCCGCTCCCTATTTTCACGAACAAAATCTACAAGTATGTTAAAGGAATCCTCCAATCGCCTTGCTTCCAGAATAAAATCTCTCACTTCTCTTAATTCCCCTTCAACTTGTTGAAATGATCCTCCTCCACGGAGAAAACACCCCGTCCATCAGCAACTGCAGCTTATGGAAGATCGTTTCAATGAAACGCCTGCTGCCCTCTTCTGGATGCCATGGCTCCTGTTCCGTTATTCTCTCTCTGTCTTAACTTTTTTCTTCTCTACCTCTCCGGCTCTCCCTGACTGCTCGAGTCAGTCAACGCTGTGGAAATGGGCATACAACTCAATGATGTGGTCGGAAATAAATTTTACTTTTCCAGAACAACTCAATGGGCATTAACTTTTTTTTTTCTTTTTTTTGCGGCGTACAAATCTGCTACAAAGCAGA